GCTGAACTTCACCGATCCGATTGACATGACAAAGCATCTTTTCGGCCGTCTAGCAATAGCCCTATGGCGAGGCAATGCGGGCCTCTGGATGCACCACCATCCATCTCTTCCCCCTTCCATCGATGGTCTAATTTAATTGTTAATTTTTTGTTTTTCTTTGTTGTCTGTCACTACCTCTGAAACAACCGCCGTTTACTATATAGTCATTTTTTCCTCAGCATTTACCTAAAAATAAAAAATAAAAATAAAAGTATTGCAACGCACGCACGCACGCACACGCGCACGTGTAGTTGTATATAATTATACACCCATATATACGCATGCGCATTAGACGACGTGTGGTGCACCAACAAGCGCGTTGCATGGCCTACTAGGTCCCTACTACACACGCCGCAATGGGAAGGGGTATGTATGATTGTACGCTTTAAAGCTGTTGGACAACCCAGTGGTTATTGTTTCAGTTGACGAGAGTTCCCAGGGAGAGAGGATGGTGATGACAGTTGCTGAGATAGTCCGCCAGCTCATAGAAGCTCACCAGAATGGAAAAGATATAAATCTGAAACAAGTATAGATACGAAAATACACTATGCACTAACCCAAGGGACGAGTCACCCTCAGGGCAGATGCACAGCGAGGGGACCCTTATTGTTTGTGTTTTGCCTTCCGTTTCTATAGGCAGCCTATAAGCGATACTTCTCCTGAGCTATATGGGCGCATGGACAATAAAAACGCGAAATTTAATAATGTAGGCAATGATGTGGGAGACTCACTGTTGCACATGATAATTGGTTGTGAAGCTGTTAGTAGAGTTGCCACACGTCTATCATTGTCGGGTGTGCATTCCGAAAATGTGTTGCCTTTGATATTGTCTTTATTCACAGACGAGACTTATGCCCACTATAGTGCATGTGTTGCCTAGGGCTATTTGTTGTTGTTTACAAAGAAAGATGTATCCCAGTCTCTTCTAGTTATGACGTCTTGCGTTCTTTAACACTTAATGCACCGCGGACACATTTATGTGTCCGCCCGAAGGTAACGCGTAACGCCAATGACACATTTATGTGTCTGCTTCAGTTCACCGAGAACTTACTTTCACATCGCGGCGAAAACCGGTGCAACACGCGTCTTTCCCGAGTGGCAGGCTTTTGCTACTTCGTGTACCATAGTTCAGAGTTCACAATCGATCTTCTTGGTGGCAACGCCCACACCTGTGCGCAGCTGCAAAAGCGACGAAACGCAAACGACTACGCGCGGAACAGAGAGTACTATGGCAGCTAATTTTAGCACATTGCAACAAGTCTTAGATAGTTCCACAGGAAGTGAAGCTGACTTTACAGACCTGGAGGAGCTGCAATCCAGTGCAGGTACATAAAAACATAAATCATATGACATAAAGTAAATTCTCTTCAGAATCAGTCTCTCAAGTCAGTCCTCTCATTTTACGATATAGGTCACCTGCATGTGAATGTATTCATAAAAACATTACAATAAATGCAGAATATAACTTGGCTTTCTCCAACGTAGATGATGAGCAAGAGCCTGTCTCCCCTTCTCTTCCAACCTCGCCACCATCACCAGCAGAGAGTAACCTGCATAGACAGAGGAGGAGAAGACGATCACAGAGGGACGACAGTGAGAGTGAGAACAGTGAGGGTGAGGAAGCCAGAGTGAAAGTACAGGAACACGAACAAGGGTCAGAAGGCGGCAGACAGGCACAAGAGAGACAGACACAGAGAGTGATGAAAATGGGATAGGACCACGAAGAAGTGAACAAAGAAGTGAGAGTAGAGGCATGGGGAGGGGAAGATGCACGGCAAGTGGAAGGGGCCAGAGAGCAACACGAAATGGAGGAACAAGGGGAAGGGTAGGAACACAGGGCAGAGCAACAAGGGGAAGGGGGCGGGAGGAAGGGTAGGGGGAAGTAGATGACAGACAGCACACAAGACCAACCAACAATTGTTTTCAACTGTAGTGCTTCTAGTGGGCCATGTATTACTCTTACGACTACTACAGCCATTTCCTTGGGGATGACTTCCTGGAAATGATGGTCAATGGTACCAACACATACGCTGAGGGGAAGATCCAGAAGCTGCGTCAGACTGGCCGACTCTCTCGTGGCTCGCGATGGAACAAGTGGAAGCCTGGCCATTATCATCAACATGGGAATCATAGGCATTCCTGTCATGGAGGCCTACTGGAAAACTACATGGGAATGTTACATCCCATTTTCCCATGATGTGATGAGCCGCAATCGATTTCAGGAGATATTTTGGAATCTCCACATCCCGCAGCCAGCTCACTTGTCACATCGCATGGACAAGGTACGTGTGCTACTGGATCACTTTCGACAGAAGTCCCAGGAAGCTTTTTACCCTTGGAAAGAGTTGGCAGTTGATGGGACAATGGTGGGCTTTAGGAGTAGTGTGTTATTCAAGCAATACTGCCCTAAAAAGCCTACCAAATATGGCCTGAAACTCTTTGTCCTTGCCGACAGTAGCACTGGATACGTGTACAACTTTGTTTTGTACACAGGTAGTGAAACAATGTCGTCACTACCTGCTGCCTTCTCTGACCTTCCTGTCCCAGCCCAGTATGTAATGGCTGACATGCTGCACCGTGGCCACATTGTCTACACTGACCGCTACTACAGCAGCATTCCTCTTGCTAATGCACTGTCTTCCCGGGGTACAGGGTTTGTTGGTATATACACTGGTGCGAAATAGAAAGGGTTTGCCTCAGGAAGGAAGAGGATCAGCCTTCAAACTTGCTGCAAATGAGGTGAAAGCTTGGAAAAAATGAGAAAAACCTGGTTGTAGCCTGGCGCCATGAGAACAAGCAGCCTGTTGTAATGCTTGCCACAACATTTTCAGCATCACCCACACGAACTCAGACAGGGCAACGGAGGCTATCTATCACTAAGCCAGATGTAGTGGTTCGCTACAATAATGCCATGGGAGGTGTTGACCTAGCAGATCAGTATATACTGCGTGTACTACAACTTTACGTGTCGGACAGTGAAGTGGACACGCAAGGTGATGTTTTGGGCAATAGAAGCCAGTATAGTAAACAGCTACATCTTGTACAAAATGTCAGCGACCACACCCATGTCTCACCTGCAGTACCGACGGGAGATAATTCGGAGCTTCTGCAGTACTTTCCCCACCGGAAATGTGAGACGACAGATGATGACCTTGGCACCAGGCGAGCAACGTACCCAAGGAACACATTTCCTGGGTATCGGACCATCTTGTTGTCGTTGCCAAGTCTGTGGAGCAGAGAATCGAAGAACGATTCAGTACTTTTGCAAGACATGCTCCAACCGCCCCCCTCTTCACCCCGTCCCATGCTTTGAGACCTACCATAAGAACCACTAGACTATTACTACACTATTGCTCCAATAAAAGAGCACCACCATTCATACACTCTTATGATACAATAACTTACAACCTTCACAGGTGGTGATAATCGTCTCCTTCATCTCCTTTCACTCCAGCCCAACGCCACCCAAATAAAGAGTCGAAAAAACACGAAAAATAACGCAAAAAACCGTACTCGGTATATCCAGTTGACCAACGCAACTTACCAACTGTGAGGGATTCAAATGGCTACTTGGCCTCTCTAATGATGTCTTTTAACGTCAATAAAGACTCCAGAGTGAAGACACGCGACAAAAACCTGCAAATGCATCGTTTCTTCGAATGCGAATTACGCGCAAAAACGTGCTGAGGTGTGGTGTTGGGGGGAAATCATTGCGAAATACATGCGGCGTGTTAAGTGTTAATTTTTGTTTTAGAAATTGACGAGTTTAAAAACAAAGACTCGCTGCTACAATACTGGTCTTAATTAAAGGTGTAGAGCCCTTAAAAAGGGCAAAACCCGGATTGGCAAAGGTAAATGAATATGAATTATGCCAACTTCCTCTAATAGGCTTGTGTGTACCGTCATTGATGTTAGAGTTGAAAGTGGGATTGTATGTGGTTCACGTGCTAATGCCATGCTTTGCAAAAAATGCACAGAATTTCACACCTAAGCGGGATGCAGCTGCCTAGATTTTATCTTGGACTCCCACGTCTTAGTTGCCATGGGAGGTTAAGCAGTATGGGGTTCGTCTTTTGCTTGCAGTTGTGACCATTTGCGTAGTACCGTTTTTGATCGATATTGGTATAATACCCTTTCACCTCTGTCTAACTATGCAAACAGCAAGGAATCACTCTCTGATCTTTTATATACGGTCAGTTTGCGTACCTGTAGGTGCTCCCTACTCTGAAGATTTGCACTGGCCTGTTTTATTGTGAGCGAAAGAAACTATCTAGGCACCTGAATCAGGGGCTTCGAACGTTCCCACTCGTTTGTAATCACCTATGTTGTTCTTAATAATAGTTAGCCGCTGATTCAAAGTAACTACGCGCTGTAGAAAACCGAGAGCTCAGGTATTGTGGCGGTAGTGACTCCGCCTTCTTTCTGGTTGTGCACCTGATGGTGCATGCGCGTGGACGATGCATCAATGTGGATTCTTGTTGTTGACATCTACATTTTGATATGTTTTCTTGTTATCCCTCGGCATCTGTTACCACGTTTTCTGTCACCACGCGCAACAAACAGGTAAAAAAGCGACACCAACGGGTTCAGCGCTACAGTGGCTTTATTTTAAAAATGGCGATGTTGTGCCACGTTTAGAAGTTATGGCGTGAAAAGCATGTGAACAAGCCAATATGCACAAAGTAGCACAGGCTTACCTAGACCGGGTCTGCTTGCTCTGTGCGTCTTGAAGTCACAACAAAAGGCGGCGCGTGTATCGACTCCTGATGCTGTCTACTACTGTTGCTAGCCCGTGTCAGACTCTCCGCGAGCTACTAGTGGGAGACCACGAGTTAACGCATACTATAATAGCCCAACCAGTGGATTTTCATTTTATCTGTAGGTTTTTAATTATTAAACCCCGTTACAGGAAACAATCTGATTGGCAAATTCGAACCAAGAATACTTGCATACAAGCCCTATAATATTGTCACAAAGTATGAGTGCGCTCCCTTGTATGATGCGCAGCTATGATTAGTCAAAAGCATGTTACACGGGTAATGTCCTCTCCTTGGTTATGAGTTGAGACTGCATTGTGTGAAGTCTAAGACTTCCACATTTTCTGAACTAACCAATTCTACAATGTTGCATTCTTGACCCTCTATAAAATTCCTTGACCATTGTCCTCACACTGTACAACATTCACTAAACTAATTCATGTCAGTGAGTAAAGGTAGTGACAATATAGGTCTTGTGTGGAGGAAAATTTTCACGAGCAAGCGATGTTAGTTCGAAGTGCGGCTGTGGCTCTATGACCTCTCTCATACAAGCTTATTTTTTATGCAGGTTGAAAGGTTTTACTGCCCGCAAGTACAGGTTAGCAACACAACCTCGACTTGTCGACATCATTGCAGCAGTACCACCTGCTTATAAAGATGCATTGTTGCCTAAATTGAAAGCCAAACCTGTGAGGACAGCATCAGGCATAGCAGTGGTTGCTGTCATGTGCAAACCACATCGCTGTCCACACGTCACTTTCACTGGAAATATATGCGTGTACGTAAGTGGTTATGTGATATTTTTTGTGTCTTGGTGATGTTAGCTTCTGTTACAGGTACTGTCCAGGTGGTCCGGATTCTGATTTTGAGTACTCCACACAGTCATACACTGGATATGAGCCTACATCCATGCGGGCAATTCGTGCTCGCTATAACCCTTATTTGCAAGCTAAACACCGCTTAGAGCAGGTTGGCTGATGGTTTTTACGTCTGTGGTTATAACACACTGGATAGTGTGCCACACAAGCTATACTAAGAATTTTTATGTAGTACAGCAATATATTTACTGACGTTGTGTAACGGGATATAGAGTGTACGAAAGTTTACTCAAGCAGTTAAGCTTAGCATGGTTAAGATAATGCTGTTAGCCTTGTTGTCCCATAACTCCTGCCATACCTAAACCTGATAACTGGTGTGGCTATCACGTCTACACAAGTCACATGTTAAGTATATCTTGATTTAGTGCAGCTGAAAATGAATGTAGGATGCATTGTCTTCTTGGCATGTGTTCTGGTTATAGTTGCAGTATTTAATGGTAGTACTTGGTTTTTATCCATACATATACACATCTTATGCCCATTAAGTGAGGTTTTGGAAATTCAATGCCGCCAATTTTCTGCTCAGCCATCTCCCATAGAAAAGAGAGTTGCATGTAGTAGTTGCAGTGAGCCATACCTGAAATATCTAGCTAACCATTCTGACATCATCTTACTTCGGGAGCATTGGCTCTGGCCTTTTGAACTGCAGAAGCTCTCATCTGTCATTGATGTTTATTTTTCATTTGGTGTGAATGACTCAAGGCTAGGTGATACATCTACTTTGCACAGAAGATGTGGAGGTGTCGCCATCTTGTCCCTCATACACCTTCCATTCAGGCACACAATTGACTACATTATAAATGCACATTGACTATATCATCATGCACCCTGTAGTGGCCTCCTTGCCTCCTGAAAGGGACTTCCTTTGGACACCCTTTATGTCTTACTATCTCATTTAATGCTCCTGGATCATAGGCAACCCACTCAGGATCCCTACGTCAAGAGTCCATTGGGAGAGAGTTGTTTCCACTGGTGCAGTCGTGGACTTCGTCAAAGGTGTTGACAAGCGTATCTGTCGCTGTTAGCTCCCATCCTAATGACAAAGCTGACCTGGATGAGGAAGTCCACTGTCCATGAAACAGTTCTCAGTATAGCCAACTCTACCCTCCCTTTCAAAACTGGATGTGGGAAAAGGTCGCACAATTTCTCCCTCCTAGAGAAGAATACTGGTAAGAGCCCTGAAGGATTGCTCTCACACTGAATCCATCAACAAAAAATGTTGAAGGAAAAGGACAAAATGTTTCCATGTCTCAAAGTAATCCCCCAGTGGTACTAGGTTGCTTGTTGAAAGCAACGTGGTTACTAGTTCAACTGAACATGAGCCGCTCGTTTTGAGCAGCTGGGCTCCTCAAGACTCTAAGATTACCCAGTGCTTCAAAGTATACAGTCAAAGTCGCATCCTACCAGTCCTGTTCACTCCAAAATGAAGATTACATTCTTGACACCAAGATTGAAACTGCCGAAATAGAAACAGCAGCCAAACTAACGCTGCTGGCCCAGGTGGAATTGTACCGTAACATGTTTTCAGTGGCACTAATCTACTCCTGACCTCAAATTATCGTGGCATCTTCACACATCTGAAATAATAGACATTCTACTGCAGCCAATCTTGGGGGAGAACGGTATACCTCACTATCCCCACACAGAATTTAAATCTGGGATCTCATGTGCAGACCCCACTGAAGTCGTCCAAGAAGCAGTCATAGATTTTGCTGACCTGGATGAGGAAGCCCAATCTGTCTGTGAAACAGTTCTTAGTATAGCTCGACATCTCTGATTGAATGCTGTCATTAGGTTCTGAGAGGTCTAACCCTTGTTACACACACCCAATTGAGAAGGCATACTGCTGCTGAATGACCTGTATTACCATGAAATTCTTGCCTAGCAAATTGGGTCGTATTGAGACTGGCGAGTATCTCTAATGCAAGGTTTCGGGGCTGTTGAAGTGCGCAACAGGGATCTTTTGTGCTTGAGGTGCCCTGGATGCAGTATTTGCAGTCCAAAAGACGTTTGACGACTTCTTAAGGTCCATTCCAGGGCAAGTCGAACTTCCGTGAGGATCCAGGTGGCACCGATGCATTGTGAAACCATACAATGTCCCCAGCGAAGTTTTGCCGTGAATAAGTATGTCTGTCGGATCTCTGGACGGTGAGCGGCTGGGACTACTAACTGCAAGGTTTGTTTTCCGCCGTTTTTGTCTATAGCTTACCTCCATTGTTCGTGGAGGTAGCTGCTCTCGCTACTCTAGGCCCATAAATGATCATCGTCAAGTCGTTCTCGCCATTCCACTGTTTCGAAGACGGGACAGATCACATCCTTTTCTTGTTTGAGTAGGTCAAATTCCTCCTGTTCTTCCTTGCTCCAACAAAAGTTGGTCTGTTAGGAGGTGTTGTGGTTTCACTATTGTGGCAGAATTCTTGATAAATCAACAGTAATAATAAACGAGGTGGAGGAACTGCTGTACATGATGGCGACTACAGGAGTTTTCCATGTCGATACCTTGCGCGTATTTTCAGGATCTGTTGCAATGCTGTGTTCGGAAACAATGTGCCCCTAGGATTGTGACCGCCTTTTCGCATACATTTGGTCGGCTGCAGCTTCGAACTCACCTCCGTCAGCTGGTGAAGGTGTAGTCGGAGGTTATGTAGATATGTGTCAAACTCTTTTCCGAGAATGATAATAATTATCGTCCTGATATGCCATAGAGGGAATTTCCATGTCAATCCTTCAGGACTTCCACTTGACAGTAACCTCTGACGAGGTCGAGTGTTGTGAACCATCAGGCATTGGCAAATGTGTCTAGCATTTCATCAATTCTTTGGAGTGGGTGTGCAACCTACCAAGTTACCTGTTCAACTTTCTGTAGTCGACGCAAAAGCTGAGATACCCGTTCTTTTTCTTCACTAGTACGATGGGTGACGCCTAAGGGCTTTGGGACGGCCTGATTGTGTCCTTTTCCACTATTTTGTCAGTCAGACATCTGGCTTCGTCACGTTGGGAGAGTGGAATACGTTGTGGAGCTTGAAGGATCGGCGGGTTTGATCCCATGTCGATCCTGTATTGAGCAAGGTTGGTGCATCCCATGTCGTCCTAACTTCTGCGAATAATATCAGAGTAGGGGAGTAGACGGTTAAACTACTCCCATTCTCTTTTTAGGCTGGATCAGAAAGGTTCCAAAGATGGAGGGGGTGTCTGTAATTTTGAAGGGGTTACGTGGTTGATGACTGACTCGGGTTCAATTAAACCAATGTGGGTTTCTGAGTATACTGTGACAGGTTCTGTTGTTTGGTTCATTAGTCAGCATACGTAGACGATGGGGTGACTAATGCTTGACCAGCAACGGTCACGTGGTATATGCTCCAGAATGTCAACGTGATCAGGAATGTAGTTGTCTGCAATACATGTCATTTCTTTCAACTCACTCGTTGGCAGAATACTGATGGTCGAAACTGCTGAGACGACCAATTATGGGATTCCTCCAGTAGGAGGGGGATAGTAGTTGGAGTCCGACAGATTTAGAGTGCGGTTTAAGTCTACGGTGCACTTGTTCTTGTGAGGAAACTCCAAACCCCAGTATGGACATCTCCTTAGTGCATCCACCGAGATTGACGGGGAATTAGCTTGGCCTTTAACAGTTAGTAGGGATCCGTCTATCTTCACGAGTGGTTGCCTGGCCACTGACAAAGACGGGGAGGGTCACAGGCATCTATAACTGTGTCGTCCTAAGTGTGTTTTGAAGATGCGTGCCTGACCTGAACTTAAACATTAATCTAGACCCAGCATCACTTGCCCCATGCAAATACTTCTTGAACTCTACCACCTTGTTGAACGTCTTAAACAACGACAGCTTTACTTTACTATTTAACCCCTCTTCAATCTTCTAATCTCCCTCTCATTGATATTGTGCCCTACTATAGACAGAAAGCCATTCAAGGAGCAATCCCCATTTTGAATATCATGCAACCACTCTGCCTCGCCAAGACCTAATGATGAAAATCTTACTGGCTTCCCACACCTCACTTCCATACTCTAAAGTTGGCCTAACCACCGCCAGCAACAACAATCTGCGAGCACTCAAATTAATATCGCTATTACTATGCAACTGATTGACCTTCTTTCTCCCATTGTCTAACACGTTCTTGATATGCACATCCCATGCACCAGTACTAGTAAAATCAACACCCAATTATGTTTTTTAGATACTCCTGGAGGAATATGCTCCCCATTTCCAAGCACCATCCACTGGCTCCCTAGAGAACACCATCACTGCACTCTTACTCACATTAGCCTTTAGCATGCACCACATGAATAAGCGTCTGTAACTGATCCTTTGACTCACTAACACCAACAAAGTCATCTGCAAACAAAAGTCCTCCAAGTCTCCTACCATTACTTGTGCCAATCCCAATCTCAGCTTCCTCTACCTCCCTCAACAACCCATTGATAAACACGGAAATCATAGGCTACATCCCTGAGCTGCCCCCTGCTCCACATCAGATGCCTCTGACCGTTCCCCATCCAACAATACAGTACTCTTTGGAGACTCATACATCCTCTTTCTTAGAAGTACTTCTTTACTCTATTGCAGTTGCACATGTGGAGATGCAACACGTTTATTACAATAATATTAAATGTAAAGAATAAAAATAGCCTCAAGCACTTTCCTTTAACATTACTTCTTTGCTGGTCATTTTTGCAGACAATAGCATGTTGCATTTACTAGTTCGAGTTGTTACTTTTTTCCTGTAGCAAGATCTACTATGGGGAAATGCATGTTTACTCAGATCATTGACTAGTGCCTAATATGCAGTTGTTTAGTAACAACATATCGCATCTCAGATATTGTCGTCTGACGATTTTCATTTTTGATGTGCAGCTACTCCTGCTGAATGTTTGTTGCTTCCCTATCCTTTATGTATGTAGTTAAAGCAGCTGGGTCACTCCATAGACAAAGTGGAATATATTGTCATGGGAGGAACATTCATGGCCTTGGATGATGAATACAAGGATTTCTTTATTCGAAACCTCCATGATGCCTTATCTGGACACACCAGCAACTCTGTGGAAGAGGCATTGAGGTTAAGATAATATAATGTGTTTGTTTATAAACCCTCAGGGCTATTGCTTTGTGTATTTGTGTGTTTATCTGCCTGTTTGTCTGCAGCTATTCTGGCACTACTGGTTTGATTAGGAAGCCTTTAGGTGATAATACAAACGGCCTTGAAAGTTTGATTTTCGTGCGTTTATGAAGCGAAGAAGCCATTATGCATAATCAGTGCCGGCTTACCTTGACCAGACTGAGGGGAGTCTCTAAACGCTTGACTGGAATACTGGAATGACCTTTAACCTACCGTACGCATGCGCAGTAAGTTGTTGTCATGTGCTGCTTTCGATGTGCAGCGGCAGTCTCCCAAGAACAGGAGATGCTTGTATAATGGCAGTTACAAAGAAGTTACCTATTCTTATCGACGGGTCTCCAACTTCGTCACCGATCAAGCTTTCAACCAGAGCCAGCGACTACAGATATGCGTTCACCGCGTGGAGTCTATTATAACGACAGAGGTAGTAAATATGCGTATTTGCGGGCAAATTTTACGTATCGGTACATGCATTTCGACATGTGTATCATGCATGTAACCATCAGTGTATAGCATTACCCCTGCTACAGTGTAAGTGTCGACCACAGGCTGTACCGCGAAGCGGTTTAGAGCATGGGAAAGACTAGTGACTCTCGATCCTGACGTTGCAATCAGAAAAACGACTATACTTGGGATCATTCAATCCTTGATTTTCTCCGCCGCATAGCCACGCACGCCGCCAGTCTGATAGACTCGACAAACGCCTGGTCCTGTGCTGTCCGCTGACCTACCCCGGCGTGGTCCAACCCCACCCTTCCTCTTTGGCCCTCCATTGCACATGGTAAGGACACGGGCAGAGGTAAGACAAGACTGGACACGCTATTTTATTAGCTATAGAGTGGAATAGTCATGCAGAAGGGATTAAAGGTCATTCCAGTATTCCAGTCCAGTGCATTCCAGTCCAGCGTTTAGAGACTCCCCAGGTTGAGGGATGAAATAATTAAACTATGTGTATTTACTTTAGTGTTGTTGTAAACGCCACTGACTGTTGCAGCTAGCCTGTGTTAGAGTGAGAAACTACAAACTTTGTCAACTGGCTAGACCACTTGTGATGTCCCGGCCCATCAATTAACTGTGCACATAAATGCTATGTACACGAGTGTGGGTCAATGGTTTGCACTTCAGTGCTTTTTCATTAAAGTTTGTTATCTTAGACTCTGTATTCTGGACTGGCACCATTGGACTTGACTATTTCGCAGTAGCCAGTGGAATAACTCCAACAGTCCTTTTAAATGGTCCTGTCCAAATGTCAAATCCAGAGTGCAGATTTTACTCTTGCTGGCTGAGGGTGTGTGTTGAGCTTGGACTCTGGACTGGACTGTTATGCTAGGTTCACAATATGTCGCATTGGCCTGTCACGCCGTGCCACGTCATGTCCTTCCGCGAAGATAGAAATGAATTCTATCAATGCAGCAAGGTGCGACAGGGCAATGCAACATAATTGTGAACCTAGCCTTAAACTACACGGTTTGATTACTGTTTGACAAGATGCAGAGGAAAACTCTTTGTTTTTGTGTGTTTTCTGGGCAACTTAGAAGGCTAAAATATTTGTACCCATTGTACCCTGAAAAATCTTGTGATTCAAACTAAGTCACCCCTCCCTCATAATTAGCTAATTGGAGGAAATGCAAAAGCTCCCTGTGACTCTTTGGCTGTCTTACGAATGTCCAAACTGGTAAAAAGCATTTCTGACGAGGTATAGACAAACACCGGTTTTATGCTTCATGCAAAACAAAGTTCACCTCCGATTGTTTCAATTTCTCTCTCCTATTTCTACACGAAATCCTGTGAAGGTGAGCAGATCATTTCTCGTTTTGTTGGTGGGGTCTGGGAACGAGACTAGATGTGAGATTAAGCATAGCAGACAGACAGACAGACTTACAAACTAGGACTGTAACCATCTAGCGCATTCATTCCGAGGGTGGCAATAAAGCCCGGAGGCGTCGGTAAATACGTACCTGAGTCTATTTCTTTATGAAGTTATGATGTAATACACATGCATACCAGGTTTCATCTTCATGCATGCTAACCGTGTTTTTAATGACAGTTATGTTATTTTGTTTTTGAGTTATGGGTGTTGAATCTGAAGAAGGAGTGGATGAAAAACTTTCCCTATTGTAGCCACATACATCTATAATGTTAGTATCGTGTCAATCCCTTTGTAGTAAGTGCTATTGTACTCACTGGTATATTGTATGGCGTGTAATCCGTGTCAAAAATGCTACGCATGCGCTTCAGTTACGCGCGGTCAGTTTTTTCATGGAGGAGGTCGGTCAAATAGACAAAAAGGTCGGTCAAGTTTGCTAGGAACTCGGTGTATTTCACTAGGAGGTCAATCCAAATAATTGTGTCGGTCAACTTCACTAGGGAGTAGGACCAGTTTGATAGTAGGTTGGCGTATTTAAACTAGGAGGTCGATCCAAAATCTTCTGATTTGTGGTAGAATGCGAGGTTGCAAGTTTCCTACAACAGGACAGAAGAGGTTGGTCTGCCTGACTCCTCGAGGACTTTTCTGATGCAAAAAAAGTGCAATGTCGCCTCACGGAGCCACGCCTTTTCGAAGGCGTGACTCAGCGATCCTGCTTGCACTTGCGTGATTGCTGTATGTGGGCATTAATGGGGAAAAGCTGCGCTCTGGGAAGAGAAATGGGTGCAGGCAACAAAGTACTGCAGAATGTGAGCGGCGTTTTTCAGCGAGTGAAGCAAGTTTTGGCTTGCTAGGAGGAGAGAGAATTAACCGAAGATTTGGGCGCCCTTATCTTCCATGTCGAAAAGCTCCGTCGTTTGTTACTGGTGCTTGATTTGACAAGCGACGAGATTTTGGACTCTGTTGCTGTGGCTTTGAAAGGTGCAGAATCAGCTAGAGGATACAATGTTCCAGTAAACGTCAGGAACTCAAGGGGACGCCAAAAGTTTGATATCAAACCGGAACAACCTGAGTATCTTCTGTGTTCGGGTCTGCAGTGTCCGAAAATTGCTGAATTATTGGGTGTTAGCTTGAGCACTTTTAGACGAAGGATGAGCAAGTATAGTTTCAGTGTGACTGCTCTGTATTCAAGCATCACCGACCATGAGCTGGATGCTATTGTCTCCCAAATCAAGCTCAAATTTCAAAATGCTGGTTATTGATTGATGCATGGTCATTTGCTGAGCCATTGTCTTCGAGTACATCAAATGCGTATGTGAGACTCGCTCCATAGAGTTGATGTAACTGGACTCAAAGGTTCAAGGGATGGGGCAATGGGGCTATCAGGGGCTATTTGTATGCGTTTACTCATGGTCTTCCGCTAGTAGCCCGCGGAGAGTCAGACACGGGCTAGCTACAGTAGTAGATAGCATGCGGGAGTCGATACATGCCATTTGTCGTGACTGCCTGAGCCCCCAAGGTACACAGAGTGAGCGGATCAGGTCGCGGTAAGCCCAGTGCGATTTGGATTTTTCGCTTGTTTTCACGGCATATCTTTCTAACGAAGTCGTTTCAGGAAAATCGCATAATAATTTTTCAGGCTCCCGTAGTTCTGAATCCGCTAATGGGCCGCCTCATAGCCTGTAGTGCCAGAATAAGCATCGACACACAGACAGATAGACAGACAGAACGACTACCGTAACCCTTGCTGCGCATGCGCGCCGAGGGTTAATCACCATTACATAGTTACAATGACACATAACACAACACAACATTTTTATACACATACCTTTCCTTCTTGCCACAACTAGTGACATGCTTCCTCAGCTGAGACATTGGAAGTAGCACATTACAACCATGACAGAACTTTTCACCTATATATATACATTGGCCAAATCACATACACTTGCCAAATGACCATTAACTTACAATGCTTGGGCAAGAATATGGCTTCATGAAAACTGAACAGCTCACGCTATATACATAAAAAGAAAGAAAGAAGAAGAGAAAGAAAACAGGACTTCAAAAGGGCTACAATTAACATACATATATCCATAAGGGCTTACTTGGGACTGGCAAAACACGCGAGCTGATGCATGAAGGTGGTGAAATGACTACAACAAACGGTACAGGCGGTATAAAAGTTATCAAAAATAATCTGCGATATATAGGTTACAAAAATAATCCATAGGAACACAGCAGCACAAAAATAACATATTATATGAGGTAAAACAAAAGTGTAGGGCAGTACCATTAGAGAGGGTCAGCTAGCAAGACCTATAGGCATAGATGGGTGCCCCGGCCTTGAGAACCAGGGATGGTGGGTTAAAGAGTCTTTTATCACCGGTGAACTCTCCCCACTCACTCATGTCAGCTTCAGTAATATCTTTTTGAAGAGGCCGAATACATAGCTTTGCATGATTGAGGATACCTTTCAAATGTGCAACAGATATACCGCTTTATCTCCACCATGTTATGTGAATTCTCAGCTAACCACATTAGTGTATAGCCACCGCAGGTCTCAAGAACAGGAAACGTCTGAAGCAAAACATTGTGAATATGTTCCGCATCACCGTCGCTGTGAAAAACGATGTCAGCGTGGCCCAGGCCAATCCTTGCTAGCTCAATGTTTTGGTAATTAATGGGTAATTTCGGTTAAAACGGAAGTAGGCGGGCAAGCACGTGCATACAAAACAGACGCGCAGCGCAACAGTGCTCACACTATCGCGTATCGCAGTGTTTGCAGCGTGTTCTGCCCGCCAAAGCCACTCAAAGTTCTCCCACCCACCCTCCACAGTCAGAGACTTATTTAGCTAGGTAGATTGAGAAAGCCTCCTACTAGTAATGCATTAGCATAGCTTAGGTAGGCGTAGATTAGCTTCAGCCCACCTGTTAGGGGCAGCACCTATCTAACAACCTATACCCCTCCCTATACATACCTATGGCTTTTCAGGGACAGCCTATCCTCGTCTCCAGAGTGGCACTCAGACTGTCACCTGGAATGAGACGCACTCCCTCCTCGTCTCCAGAGTGG